ACAGTGCTGCCGTCCGGCGGGTGACCACTGTAGCCTCACCGCGTCTTGTCTCCTTAATGGGGCGTCTCCTTCGAGGGGGTGGCAAGCCGGCTGGAGAGAGCCAGCTCCGTCTTGGGCCGACTGGGGGAGGCCAGGCCGCCTTCGGGTGTCTCTCTGCCTGAAGGGGCCCACCGCCAGTGGGCCGTACTGGTAGCCCGTCGTGGATGACATCAGGGTCAACGTGACAACAGTGCTGCGCCGGACGGGTCATGGCCACTTGTACGGCGCATTGTGCCAGGCGCGCTCCGGGATTCGGGGGTGACAGGCTTCACTGTAGCCACGCCCCGTCACATCGCCGTTATGTGGATGCAGACTTCGAAGGTACGGTCTTGACCGCTTTATGGGAGCCGGCTCCTTGGAGTCGGCCTTCTCGCAGCCGGCTCCTTGGAGCCGGCCCTCCTGCGGCTTTCTTCATGAGAGCTGAAGTCGGGCCGCCTTTTAATAGCCGGCCTGGGAGACAGCCGGCCAGGGGAAGGCGGCCCCATGTCTTGGATTCTTGAGAGCCGGATCGGCTCGTAATTTTTTCAGAAAGGTCAGGGGGAGCCGACTAGGCTACCCGTGGTCACTTACTCCAACACTTATATTTCTTTTAATAGTAGAAATAACCCCTATCACCTCCTAGGTTTACGTACGCAGACGTCCTTCCGACATACCACGTGATATGTATGCTTGAGTGCATCCACTTCCCAGAAAAACACGATCGAACTTTGTCAAATTGCTGGTGATTACCATCGCCTAAGCACCAATGGACGTGGAATTGGTCCCTTTTTTCATTTGGGTCGGGCGTCAAAATTGGTCCGCTTTTTGTAGGACCAACGTTTGCTCTCGTCCATGAAATTCTGGACCGCACGCCCAATAGGCCGACCCATTTGGTCCGCCTCGCCTTTTTCCCAACAAAAAAATATATGTGCATACCAAACATATTTAGATTGCTCGAATGAAGCCGGAATTTCATGCCACCATCCATGTCAGCATACAAAATAATCTTCATCGTCAGCCATAATTTAGAATTCATGTTGGCACACCGATGCCGACACACATGCCAACACGGCACACACACATGCCGACATACAAAAATAATCGCGTCTTGGCCGTAGTTAATGCATCTCGGCCAAACATGAAGATGATCATGCTTCACGCAAGCTCGAGCATCTCCTTTTGCTTCTTCTCGAACCAAGCTCCTTTTGGGGGGGCATCTTGATCAAGTCCACTTCCCTGATCTCCACCTTCCTTCGAGATTAACGTGAGTTTCATCTCATTTGCTCTTGTCTAGGCATTGGTCTCATCGATCTTGAGCTTCTTCTTTTGTATGTAAAAAAGATCTTCATTTGCTCCTCTTTCTCTGGGCGCTTCCTCTCTTCTCTCTTCTCAGTTGACACCCTCTTTTGGGTCATGAACCCCTTCAAGGCGATTGTCGAAGCATCACGCTTTTCGTCCACCTTGGAATTGGTCTTCCCCTCGCCGCTTCTTACCTTCACTTGGTTCGGCCACCGATGAAGGCCCCCCCCCCACCTTTCTTTTGGGCGGCATATGGCTCCTTAAACTTGGAGCACTCACAAATCATAGTCCAACAATGGGTCAATGTGAATGGCTTGTTCCTATCTTGAGCCTTAAAGATTTCCAAAGTTTGAAAAGCCTACAAATGAAGATGAAAAGCAAGAACATACATTTATCCTTTGCGTCCCAGTGGATTGGTCGGCGATAGGGGTGGCACTGAGATCAAAGGGGAGGCACCACCTAGACGATCGACACATACTCGCCCGTTTTCGGCGAGCCATCCCGAGGCGACACGGAGAAGCAGGACGCAGCCGGTTCATGTTTGGGATGGTACCCATACATTGGTGGCGTTGTCGACATGCATTATGACTCCAGAAGCTTGGGTGGGCGGGCCGCTAATGAGCCCATGCTGGTCGCGGCAGCGGCGGCGAGAAGGGTCGGTCCTTGCTACCATAGAATGAGGAGGGCCTGTGACGCGCTTTGGCGATGAGGGCATCACTCTCAATGGCAGCGGACTGGGCCTAAGCGGTTGCGGCCATAGCGGCTTCTTTTTTGCCTTCTCATTCTTTTTCCGGACCGCCCTCTTCAACATCTCGGCGCTCTTCTCCTCCGGGGTGCACTTCTTCTTCGGTTTCTTCGAGCCAATGGCACGAGCGGCCACAATGGGGGCGGTGGCAGGATTGGGCACACCGGCCATGGTGGGAGGGTGGGAGGGTTTGGGGAGAGAGGGTGTGATGGTGTGCCACAGACGGGCGGGCTAGAGGAGGACATGGGAAGGATGTCGCGGTTGTCCGCACAGAAGCAAACCCGACCCTAGTTTGGGCCGAAAATGGGTCCAAGCGGACATCCCTCCATTTGCGTCGGCGCGTTGGGCCGCGTTTTTGCATATGCATTTTCCATAAGTGGATTTTAGAATGAGTTTATAATGAGTTTGTGCCTGAGGAGGAGCATGTGACGGTTGACGGTGTTGATGACTCCGGCCATGGTGTGGAGGCACATGAAATGAAGCTTGAAAGAACTGGAGGTTAAAATGGGCCGAGATAATGTGGGATAACAGAGGTAACACATGGATCTGAAGCAGTAGAAGACAAGAATGATGAACTTGCCTGCTAATTCGGTATTAATGAACTTTCCCACTAAGCCATGTTGAGCCATGTGTTTGTTAGTTTGTAATGCAATTTATTAGTAGCTAGAACAAACAACCATTTGTTTAGTACTACCTATGTATTGTATTGTATGGTAAGGTCACCACTACGAGAAATAGTGACCACAACATTAGGCCGGGAGCAACCAAACGTCATCTTTTGCATCTTCACAACTATAATAATCAACTGCTATCAATGAAACACCATGCACCATACGACCTTGTGATGTAATGCAGGCAACCAAACAATGTGCATAATATGGTCTATAGCCTGTATTTACTTAGATTGAGCCAAACCACAGATGCAAATTTGCCAATATAACCAAACAGGATGATAGAGCACTTGGCTAGATTCTGGAAGGATACTTGGCTGGGGAGATACATCTAGCCTTACAATATCCATCGCTTTATAATATTATACTGCGTAAAGGCACATTTGTCAGTACAATATTATGTTTGGTTCCCCTAAATACATAGTTCAGGTGGGCACTGGTTGGGAAACGATGGGATTGGTGGCTGCATTTACGTTCTAGGTTGATGGAGATCAACTTGTCTAATTAGCTAGATGTATTCCGATGGACCCTTTCTGTGTTTTGGGCATGTTTTTCATTAAATCTATGTATGTGGACTTGATTAATAATGGATTAATCATCGGGTCTATCAATATCAGAAAAACAAAGGTGCCTTTAAAAATCAGGATTTTTATGTAGTTTGTGCATAAGGGAGTGATTCTAACAAATTTGAAAAAAATGTAGGTGGAAAGAGAGTAAATGGTTTTTTTATGACCACGAGGAAACGATTCAACATTTATTTCTCACATGACCACTAGCTAAATTATTATGCCGAAGAACATGTGTCTTTTAATGTACCTTCACCTAACATTATCTTCAATATGTTAGATAACTGGTTAGGTGGGGTTGAGCCTAGTATAATGACACATTCATGTGGAAGTTTGTGCATTAATTTGAGTTATTTGGAACTGTTGAAATGATTGTGTATTTAACATGACAAATATCACAAAAAAATTCAGGTCCGTTGCGCATCTGGATGGATTCGTATGTGGTCATTATTACTACATCATGTAGAAGTGAGAGAGAGTCTATGGTCTTTGGAGGCAATCAATGGGAGATGATAACACAAGCTGTATGTGGTCATTATTACTACATCATGCAGAAGTGAGAGAGTCTATGGTCTTTGAAGGTAATCAATGGGAGATGATAGTACATGCTACATATAGCCGATTTGAATGAAGGTCCAATAATAGAATAAATGTTTAGGCCTCTTTTGGTTCATAGGATAGGATTATCGTAGGAATAGAAATTTTGTAGGAAATGAGATGTCATGTATCCCAAATCCTATGAGTAGGAATAAGAAATGAGATGTCATCTGGTTGACACCAAAGGAATTTTTCCATTGAGTCTAGACTCATTTTTATTTTTCTATAAAATATGAAGGATAGAAACCAATTCTATGTAGGAATATGAATCAATTTCTATGAACCAAAGGCTCTAAAGAAAAAAATCCTATAAAAATCTTATCCTGTAGAATTCCTATGAAATTCCTTCAAACCAAAGGAGATCTTAGGTTGCCGGTTATTTGTTTACTTTCTTGTTATTGATTAGCTACTTAAGATGTTATTCATACCTTCAGACTACTCGTTTAAAATAGAGGTGATCCTCCTTTTGGTAAGAAGAATGACAGAATACTGTGAAGGGAACAAAAGGTAAACAACATACAGTTTTGCTAAAGCATATCTAGATGTGCCGTAAGTATTGCACATTTAAGACCTATGTCATTGATTTTATGTCGAGATTCGTATGGATATTTTTCTTTTCTTTTCTTTTTCTCTTTATACTTGATTCACTCACTTAGACGTGCAATAACTAGAGGATGTGCTCTAGACACACCCACATACATAACATCTGCCAACATGTACCACTTGTCCACTCCTTGTTCAAAAGAAGCCATCGACTAAAACTAGATAACTTAGCATGTCATTCTGAGGTGCGCCATAAACCTCTTCAAGGAACAGCAGCCCACATACCGCTACTACCGTCCTTGGAGCTTCTTTCGCCCTGCTACCGCTATCACTTGCCAGGAGCAGCATCTACTCAAGTTCGCTAACTGTCTTAATAACCTTGACACATAGAAGAGGGCAGCTGGAACCAAGCGGCACCAGCAACTATACCCTAGAGTATGTTCAGGTGGTGAGTTCCAAACCAGCAACGGCAAAATATCACCTCCGTCCCAGCTACCCAGCCAAAACATCGCTGCACTTGCTCGCATCTCCAAAAGCACAGGCCCTTTGAGAGCCCAGAGACTACACAGCCGAGTTGGCCAGCTGAAGGATGCCACCAGCCACTTCCACCTTGCTGTCAAGCTGCACCTTCTGCTCCACGTCGCCGAAGGGCCAGTAGAAGCTGGGCTCCCCAAAGCTGTAGCTCGAAAGCGGCAGAGCATGCAGGGGCTCAGAGGCCTGGAGCTGCAGAAGGCCGTGGAGGACGTAAGGTGGAACTTGCACGTCACTGCACGACTGCTGGGGAATCGGAGGAGCCGAGGACACGAAGGTAATCTCGCCTTGCGCTTCTGGTGCTGCTGCCGCTGTTGGCTTGTGGCTGCTCATCCGCCTCCCGTTGACCGGAAGGTCGCTGCAGGCGATCGCCTCCAGGTTGTACCGGCTGGGCTCGAAGTTGGTGACGGCATTGTCGCCCCTGAACTTCAGCGCTGCGATGTCGTACGCCTCCGCCGCTTCTTCTTCGGTTGCTGAAAAGAGCAATTTGGTTTAGTTCCAAATGAGCTGAGCCAATCAATCATTACAGTATGGTATGCATCACAGAAGAACAGAGCAGAAGAGCTTGCATGATGCAACACCATAATGACATTCAGAGCTATCTGTATAACTGCAACGAACTGTTGACGGTGAACATTTTTTTTAGCAATTTAAAGGAACTCATATCAATGCTAACGGTAGTATTAGATCTAAAGTTCATGTCTTAGCATGAGAGACACAACGGTCTCTTACTCTCTGTTCATGAAAACTAGTTAATAGGACCATTTTTTTTTTGAAAAGGAGGAAAACCTCCGGCCTCTGCACCGATAGATGCATACGGCCATATTATTAAGAAGCACAAGAAGGTCTTAAGTTCCAATGCTGCTCATAGTCCGAGCAAATAGAAAAATATAAATAAGTCTGTAACGTGCCACACTCGGCGAAAACGCTCCACATCCGGCAATCAAGAATAGACCACGATGCCTAGACACCTAGCCTATTATTAAGTCGCCATCCAAATCGGCTGAAGATAGTCCGTGCTACCGTCTCCCAGCGGTTAATAGGACCATAGACCCCATGTATAAGCAATGCCCAGTCTGCACTACATTGTAGTACATGCAAGGCTACATTCCCTCGAGATCTCTTTGGAATGAAGAGAGATATCACAGTTAGTCAACTAGAGGCGCTTACCGAAAGTCCCCAGGTACAAGTCCTTGTTGCCTGCAACACGACCAATTCTTGCCTGCCAGCGTCCATGTTGGTGGTGCCTGACAAAACATATCACTATCAGGGACTAGGTCGAGCAGATTTTAACTGACGCGCAACATATTGATCAAACTGATGGATTCCTATAGTTGAAAATTACCTTGTGACACCTCTGTACACCGATGCACCCCTAGAGAAGCCACTGCTCTTCCTGCAGATTTACACCAGACAGTTTTCTTTTTAGGATCACCAAGCAGACAGTTGTAAGCACAAAACATGATGCCTGACATGAATGTGAGAAGTTATAAACACCAACCTCCTCAGTGAAGCTACAAGCTCGTGCCTGCTCATGTTTTGCATCTCCTCAAGCTCTCTGATGTAGTTTTCTTTCTGTAAAGCGAAGAAACTCAATGTTAGTTAAGCAAAAATTGCTGAGTTCAGAACCAGCATAATTATTATTTTTAAGGAAAAGGAACCATTTAGCACAACAGAATAAAACTGACACTCCCCGCAAAAAAAAGAATAAAACTGACACATAATTCCAATTGTTGACAATGGAATGTAAATACAATATATTGCACAAATAAACTAAGCAATATGAGGTGCATCTAAGAAAAAATATGCAAGTCGTCAACGGCACAAAAGACTTTGAATTTATGTCTTCCATCTTTACCATGACATGAGTTCAGAGAGGTGATAGGATAACATGGAAGTATTCAAAGCAAGGATAGAAGAAACACATACATCAATACCTATTAGAGAAGGAGGGAAGGATGACACTTACAGGGAAATTAGTAGTAGCATTGACACCCCAGTATTTCAGAGCAGCAAGATCATATGCCCTAGCAGCCCTATCTTCTTTTTCATAGCCACCTGCATAGTACCAAACATTGCTTTTAAGTTTCTACCAGATGTGATGCTTAAAAGACAGGACACACTAATATAAAAGGTAGGAGGTAACTGTTCATACCCAAGTAAACTGAATAATAGTCCCCGCATAGTCGCCAGATTAGCAAGCATAAAAATGGTAGACAATACAAGCCAAGTTAGTTCGAAGTGATAAGAGAAGAGAAAAAACAAATAAATGGATAGAGAAAACATGCATAACTATCATGTGATTCTTATAAAGAAAATAGATGCACCGCGCTTAGTTCGCGCCTAACTGAGCAAAATATTCACTTAGTTATGATTGTGTTGCCTACCATGGACACGTCAAGACACCATTAATTAAAATCAAGTACCCATTGTGACCTGAAGTTGGTTACTTACAAATAGACAGCATGTTCCTGTATTACGTAGATGCTCGTTAACAACATTGACATGCAATCTAAGCTAAATTGAAACAGAGAAAAAAACACTCTTCTGAATTTATGCTTATAGTAGTAGTATCCAAGCTATGGTACCTTACAAAACTCAATGTTGGGGATATCGCTTATCGGGAACTTATCGGTCGACCCATGATAAGGGGTAAATCGGCCAGTTTATCGGCATATCGGCCGATTTATCCCCATATTGGCAGATTTATCGGCCGATTTATCTTATCGGTCTGACAGCGGTAAGCGATAAATCGGCCGATTTATCGGCATATCGGAAGATATCTTGAACAGTGATCTAGAGCAGTGGCTCCTCTAGACAACATAGGATGCAATGTGCACATTTCAACTCAGAGAATATTAATTTCCAAACATAATTTCCTAAATGCAACATAGTGCTCCTACTTGAACTGCATGCATGGGTTCCTGGTCTGGTAGACAAGAACATGAGTCATGCACCATGCACACACAGAAGTGGCAAGACCAAGAGATGATCTGTACATAGAATGAAGTAAGCAGAACATTTACGGGTGGCGGATAAGAGGATTTTGACAGCGAGTATGCAACATAAAAGAAGGTTGCTCAACGTATTGAAGTATCCACAATAACAATAATGAAAAGAGGGGGGAGTTAAGTTTAGCAATCTGCCAAATTCTTTCGAAAACACTAGAATGAAATAAAAAATCATAATTAGTAACATTTAAAACCATGAAATATGTTCACTTTGACTGGCAATATTTCCTGACCATGTGCGCCTGCACAATATTTATACATTTTAAATTAAATGATTGCAAGCCGAAGAAACATACTAACAAAAAAACGAGTCTGAAGATCATTATCCCAAAATGTACATTTAGTAAGAGTACCACCCTGGTTTGAAACTAAGGATTTCAGGAGTAACAGATTCATTACATTTGGTCTGATTCTCTAATTAGGCATCTGTAATTAGTTCAATTTTGAACTAAATATTAGTGAGCACATAAACTGAAACTACTAGAACTCGTTCATTGGACCTATATAGCAGGCAACCTATTAGAACTACTACTTGTTATAGCAAATTACTGGCAGAAAGGAGCATATACCAAACGGTAAGCAGACCCCAGGCACTAATGTTTGATTAGCTTTCCTACCCAAAATGTAGTGATCGAACATAAGTGGCCTGTGCAGTTTGCAGGCTGCGTGCATGATGCAGAAGGCCAAATATGGGAAATGCACGGCCATGCGCCAGACATGTTTTGCTTGGACTGGAGTACATCAAAATTTATCTCTAGTGCAAATGTGAGTACAAACAAGCCTCGCGTATATATCTACTTGTACAACCGAGTGTAGGGCCACACACGTATATACAACAAAACTGTGCTGATCATCAACAAGGAGCGGGACAAAACTTTGGGTCGTTGCTGCCTGCTAGCTTAGCTGTGCCCTTGCTTGCTTGCTGGCGTCGCAAAAGTGGTCAGACGTGCATGCCATGCATGCCCATTTCAAAATTCGAAAACCCCTCGACCTCAAGAGGCTGGCAGATGAAAACAAAAAACAGATTGCTGGCAGATGAACGCAAACAGAAAAGAAGAAAGACTTGCAGCGGAAGAAGAAAGAAGCTGACCCACCCCACGCACGCATGAATGAACTCGCTGGAAACAGAAGACCCGGAAAAAGGCAAAAGGCTGCGTGCTCACTGTACTTGCAACTTGCAAGCTGGCATAAACTGCCGCCTGCCCACGCCAAGATTAATCGTATTGTTGTCCAGGGAAACAAATCTTTACCCCGGTTAATTGTTTCAGCTAGCGCGCTCTCTCTCTCTCTCTCCCAAAGACAATCGAAATCGTACTACTACTACTACTACTAGACATTGGTATTGCCCCGAGAAATACGAGAGGAAGAAGGAGAGAGAAAGAAGGCGGTCAAAGAGGTGGTGGTGGTGGGTCCGCAGCGAATCCGGGCGAGCGAGTAGTCTACCTCGCCATCATCATACACGGAGATGGCTGTCACCTCACGCACGCAGCACGCGACGTCTCTCTCTACCTCTCTTCACTCCCGAAACGGCGGCACGGCATCCCATCGGGTCCTCCTTTTACCCCCCGTACGTACGCGAAAGATCCGAAGCCGCAAGCAAACCAAGATCTAAATAATCGCCACCGTCGATGTTCAGATTAGCGGCGAGATTATGTGCTGGTTTAAGCCGGGGATCATGAGATGGTCACCTTGGCGTCCCTTGCGTTTCTGGCCCTCGCGGCGGCACGTGTTGTCCCACAGGTGCGCCTCGTACCGTTTGGTCCACCGGTGCCTGCGCTCGCATCGCACGTGTTAGTTAATACTAGTATGACTACTACTTTGGGGAGGGAGTGCTAATTAATCACACTCCTTAACCACACTTATCAGTTATCACTCGCTAAGCATACCTGGTCACCCCGCGGTAGCACGACGTCCTTTGGCCGGAGCTCGGCGTCAGTGGCAGCGCCGCGGCCAGCGCGGAGGAGCTCCCGGTGGTCTCCACGGGCGCCGCGACGGCCAGGTCCGTGGAGGCGTGGACGTCGTTGCGGGAGGACGCGAGGAGGAGGCGCCCCGGGTCGGCGCCGAGAGTAGGAGGAAGCGGAGGCGGGGCGGTGGCGAAGAAGTCGTCGGCGGAGAAGCCGTCGAAGGGGAAGAGTACCGCGTCGGACAGGTCCGTCACGGGAAGCGAGGCGGAGCCGTTCGTCGGCGGCGACATCATCACCCACCGATCACACACACACAACACAACCTGGGTCCTAGGGCTTTGAATGGGGTTTGACGTGAGGGGGAGCAAAAGGGGGCCGGGAAAGAGGGCGGCGCTGGCCAGGGACACGGAAGCGGGGGCGGAGGAAAGGAGGAGACGGGAGGCTCCGTCGTATTTATAGGGGAGGCGGGTGATAATGACGGGCGAGACGGTCGCGCACTTCTCCTCTCGTCTGGTCTTCTTCTTCTTCAACCAAAGTGCGGTGGGGACTACGGAATTGGAGTTGGAATGGAAGGGGAGGATGGGCGGTGGGGCAGCGCTGTGCTGTGCTGTTTTGTCCCTACTGCCTTTTGTTCGCGAGTTCCAGCACTGGTCTCCGCGCGGCGGTTTCCGTTTTAATTTTGAAAATCAGAGTTGGCAGCGTCGATGGTGGAATGCGAATGGATATGCATCAAAATTTCAGAAATGACCCATCGACGTAAGGGGATTCAAGAATGGGAGCGAGCCCCGTCCACGTGTGTTCTCTCTGTCTGACAGGAGAGGAAAAACAGTTGATCGTAAAAAAAAAGGGAAATGAAAACAGCCTACGTACCTTATAGCTTAAGAAATGGGAAATGGGGTAAAACATGCTGTTCGGTCAAACCTTTTCTCCGGCCAGACGTTTTTAAAAGTATAAGTTAAACTTGCTTGTAGGGATGGCAATAGGTAGGGTATAGGCGGGCACAACCGCCTTCTACCCAAATCCATACCCACAGAAAATTTCTGTACCCAGCCATTTCAATATTTATGGGCATAAATTGGCACCCATGCCTATACCCATCGGGTATCTAGTGGATATAATATATAGCATTTAAAATTTTAAAATACAGAGAAATGGGTTTAAACTTCAAGTGATCATGGACGAGTAGTATATCACTAACACATGCTACTATGGTGGGTGGCCTCTTGAAGGCATCAAGGGAGTATGAGCGACGGTTAATAGAAAGCCGGTACAGTGGGAGGTCATGCTGGGAATGGGGAATAGCTGGATCGAGCGTTGGATAGGAGTCTGGTAGCGAAGAATCAAGATTTCATCTATTCAACGAGTCACATAGGATGCATGAGGAGTGGCGAGCCGGTGACTACGGGCCTATGAGCTATGGCCAATTTAAGGAATCGAGACTTAGGATGGGCCATAGGAGTTGGATGATGACCCCGCATGTCATAGGACTTATTTTTATTTATTAATTGTTTCTGGGTATTCATTGGGTTATCCATGGATGCAATATCATACCCATATCCTATTTTGCGGGTATGGATACCCATTATCCATGGGTACAAAATCTCTTCAAGTCTTGCTCATACCCGTTGTTTTCGGATAGGGTACCCGCGGGTACCCATACCCATGGGCAAAACTGTCATCCCTACTTGCTGGAACACCATTGGAAAAATTATATCCATTCATAATTGTTACGTGTGCTATTTTGAATTTGTATGTTAGCCTCCATCGAAAACAGATAATTAAAAATAATTTGTGCGATACCTGTTGAAAATCATAATTATTTTTAATGTCTTAATTGTAGCAACATTCATTGGAGTTGGTAACATCGAGGTAACGTCAATCATGCAGTATAAGATTGGAATTAGATCACAACCATAGTCAAACTTCTTAGAATTGTAAGTTCCACAGTAAATTACCTCAAGGAAAATATCCGTGTGTAAGCATGAAGATTGCCATATGTGCCATTTCAGATCTATATGTAACCGATCCTTCAAGACAGATGGGTAACACGTCACTTGACTGCTAGGATTATGGACCCTATGGAAACACCGAAACGCCATTGTATTCGACGGTGCAACACCCTCCCTACGCCGGGTCACCGAGACAGTACACCTTGAATGCACAAACTGGAAGCGTGCGGGACTCATCAAGGACGAACTTGACCATCTCTTAGTGGAGCTAGATAGGTGGATTAACATGAGAGTAGGATAGGGCTTGTAGAACCGGTCGTGGCCGGGTAGAGTAGTGCTTGCTTGTAATCACATGTAACACTACTTGTGGAGGGTTTATTTAACCCATTCCCTTCTTTACTAGATGATATGCACGCTCGTGCATATTCCAGAAAAAAAAGACATCACTACCACTGAAATCCCCTCATCTGGTGTTCATGATTTTGAATTTTTCTTGTATCACTGAAGTGGCTAGAATAGAGTAAATAAGACCGAGACGATTACAAGTGTGTAGAAGAAGACCTTCGCGCTATTCTACTAACTAGCGAGGTAGAGGCACGGCGTGGTGGTCATGCATTGGCACATCTTGCAAATTATTCACTGAAATGCACCGATGATTTTCATCTATACAATTTTTTTGGTCACATTAGTCAGAACTCCATGGTCATTTTTGATGACAGTCTTGCCTTCTCCTCAAATGACTACAATAGAAGAAATCATATTCATCGGCAAGCCTGTTTTGAAGTTCACAGGTTGCCATATTATTATAAAAGAAACCATATTTGAATATCATATATTAAGATTACTAATTTTGATAACATTATCAAGAGGAATTTCTTATAAAAGCATGCAAATTAAGGTTTTCTCACCGATCATCCAGAAACGTTGTACTATGATGGGTGTTGTCAAGATACTCAAAACCATCAAGTTGTTTTCTGCCTCATGTGCTTTATAAGTTATGTAATTGTTTTCAGATTTCATCTCTTGTAAAAGCTGGTTCAGTGCCATTTTAGGAATGCCATCTAATATATATGTGCAATGATTACTATGCAGAAATAATTTAAGATTATGTTAGTAAAAATGAGCATTGCTTCTAAAATTCTATTTATACCTGACAAACCACAGAAATGTTTTGTGGCCTATATTCTTATTAGAGAAAAGAACCACATGATGTTACTTAAAGAGGCAAAGATCTCAAGACTAATTGTACATGTTGGCTAGAAACCCCAATTATATGCATGTGTGTTGTGAAAAGTTAAGTGCTTGTGCAAATGAATGTTGTATACTGGCGGATTGTATTTGTATGTAAATTTCATTTCCCGGTCTAACAACAAAATAGAAAGAATATGTAGCCAAGAAAATCATAATTGAGGAAAGTGCCTCAGGCCCTGGAAGCATTGGAAGTGGTTACAGATAAGGAGCCGCCTCTGGCAATCTCAGTATTGGTTTGTGTAAGTAAACCGCCTGTGGTGCGATTCAACGCAAGCAGTTATAGAAACTGCATGCGTTATTCTGTGTATTAGCGACACAAGATTTGAGGCGAATCTCACAACCACCTCCACCCGATGAACGAAAACAGCCTGCAAAGCCAAGTTCTATAATAGTTCAAGTTTGTTGAAAGTAACTTGAGAGATCAGGATCTACAAGGTTAGGGTAACAATAAAATCAAATGGCAGAAGAATTATCGTGATTGGAAGAATGAAATCGTAATGTTATCTATGACAAAAAAGAATTGAATGAAAGGAGGAACATGTCCAAGATGGCATAGTAAAATAATTGCATCACTAGAAAGAGTGCATGAATTTGTGATGGGAAGAAGGGTGGCATGACCTTGCGATAGGACAAAATAGGAGGAAGTGGCCAATTGAGATCAGGGAGATGAAGAAGATTAAGATAATTGAATGGACATAAAACCAATTGAGACAACATGGCCAAAATATTGAATGGAAGAACGAAGATGACGCGAACGAGAAGTGCACCGACGAAGAAGAAGATAAACGATAACAATGGATGGAACATGATGAAAAAGAAGAACCAGTCTAAGAATGAAGAAGTAATTGAACATGACAGGAAGATGAAGCCTGCGTATAGGAACATGGATGTAGAAGAAGGGTTGGACGAAGTATTAGTATAAAATAAACATGTATGTTGTGTCCTATTGACAAGGTTCAGAATCTTCATCTCATTTTCAAGCAATTTCCCCTGAAACAAGTTTCTGTACCATGACGCAGATCAACGCTTTGTAGACGAATAGTTAGGTGTGCCCATGCGAATTTTCCAGTATCATGGCATAATCAAACTATGTCTATTACACACATCTATGTTTTTGATCCAAATGTAAGTGGTTGGAATGTACATCAAATCTTCTAACCAAGTGTACTAGACTGGCCCGTCTAACAATTACTGGCTCCCTCCAATTTGGGTAGAGTTGTCATTTTGATCATTAGGGTGGTACCTAAAATGTAAATCTGACAATTATTTCTTAATGAAAAAGCGTATTGTAAAAGTTGTTTTAGTGTCTGATTTTCGTGCATCCAGTTAAGATATTTCTGCACCTATTGGTGTTTATAGTTTCAAAAGAGTACCAAAATCATCACGAAGCACATATATTCTTGAACTAGTGTGAAGTACTAACGTATAATTACTAACTAAAAGTGGAACGATATATTTTGATAGTTTAACATTATTTGAGTGAATTTTAGTTTTTATTCCATGTTTTTGTTAGTTTATCACTAATTACCCCACATTTAGTTTTTATATATGAATTACACTATTTGCTCAAAAATTACTATCTTTTCCCTTTTAAATTACGAAACTGATATGCTAGGTATATCCCATTGATCAAGAACGCTTTGCATGCCACATCATGGTTTCCATCCTTTTGTTATTGCCGGGTCCAAATTGGTACGCCTCATTGTACTAGATCCACACCACACAATGGGTAATCTAGGGGACATGCTTCAACATGCTTGAGCTTGCCCTCCAAAACTGCAAATAATAAATGAACATCACTACATAGAGGTGCCACATTGATGCTTCACATACGGTGGCTCACTCTCACCTGTCTCTTGTATGGAACAATGACACATAAGCATGACATTAACAAAAGATTTGCTCAAATTTGAGGTTAATTTTTTATCTCCCAAACCGTTAACCCAGTTGAGGATTATCTTTCACTATTATCTTTCTCGTGGCGGGGTCTTCGAAACTAGATCCCATGTTGACAGGTTTCGACAACTTCTTTTTTGACGGTACTTGCGAGATTAATATCAAACACTTGCCATGTTATTAGCCACTTAGTTGTC